GAAGAAAGAGGAGGAGGAAAGAAAGAAAGAAAGAAAGAAAGAAAGAAAGAAAGAGAAAAGAAAGGAAAGGAAAGGAAAGGAAAGGAAAGGAAAAGAAAAAGAAATGAGACTGAGGAAGCCTTGGAAAACAAACCAGTTAGCAGCTTTCCTCCATGGTCTCTGTATCAGCTCCTGCCCTCACATTCTGAACTTCTATCAGTGATGACCTATGATATGGAACTGTAAGTTAAAACAAACCCTCTCCTCCCCAAGTTACTTTTGGTCATGGTATTTTATCACAGCAAAACAAACAAACAAACTAACTAACTAATAGAAATAAAGCATATATATATATATAACTTTTGTCCATACAGCCCTGGGTATTATGTATTCATTTTCCTTCAAAATAATTAGAATTACTACAATCTCCATTATATTTAAGTTCTTGAAGTAACTTTCCCAAAGTGGTTTTTTTGTCATATGATAATTCATTTCTTGTCCTCACCAAAAAACAAAAACAAAAAAAAAATTATTTATTTTTGCAGATATCTTACTACAGTATGGTATGGTGAAATCCAACAAAACATTTTTAGAGAACTCAGCTGGCCAGATTTGGCCTGTGTTGGAAGATTACTACTATCATGCCTTTTATTTTCAGATGAATTTCAATAAAACATTGCAGATGGAGAGGTACAAATGCAAAAAGGTATCACCAGCTACTGAATCCAGGTGGAGTGTAGACAAGTGTTTATTGTCCGAGTCAGCATTCCGATACTGTAAAACTGCATACTAGCTGGGCAGTGCTGGCTCCTGCCTTTAACCCCAGGCAGAGACAGGTGGATCTCTGTTTGAGTTCAAGGTTAGCCTGGTCTACAGAGTGAGTTCCAGCACAGCCAGGGCTACACAGAAAAAAACCCTGTCTTGAAAAAAACAAAACTAAAAATATCCATAAACAAAACAAAGATCTTCATAGCTAAAAAGCTATGAAATGTATATGCTTTGAGAGGACTTTGCCATCCACGTTATTACTCCTGAATGCATCTTTGTATCTAGCATTTCTTGTGATTTTGAAAGAATAACAGATAATTGCTAGAGAAGAATTAACACAGGACTCTTCATTGATTCTCCTTCACCAAATTTGCCATTCTAGATTTCTGAAACAACAACAAAACGAAACAAAACACTCATAGGCACCTACATTCATTTGTGCTTCCTGTCTGCCTCCCTCACCCCCATTTTTTCTTGCTATGAGAATCAAAAGTGACAGGATGCATTCCTTGTTAGAGCACAAACTGCTAACAATTTTATGTGATAGTTTTTGGTCCAGTGCATTTGCCCTTGCTGTCCAGCAGTAAAAAGGATCATATTAATTAGCAGTTAACTTAGTGTTCGTTGTAAGGCATGCCTCGGTGCTCTGTGTGACTCAGCCCTCACATTCTTGCTGGTACACCTGTGCATTAACCAGCCTGATAAATACGTGGGTAAGGAGGGACAATGAACCCAAGCAGACAGTCTCTGAAAGCTTGGTGAACGACCAACTAGTGTGCGATCACCCAGACATTCTGAATGCTGACAGCTACCCAGTCTCCTTCAACCTTTTGGCCTCCCAAAGCTCTTCTTACACACTTGAGGGGTGTTCCTCACTCTTTTGCTTCCTGGTTTTAACATATTGAGACTCCTTCATCGAATTGAAAACCAACCAGAGTAATGTTTCCTCTCATTTAATTTTATCCTATTTTGCCATTTTGTATCCAAGGTAGCATAAAACAAAACATTTTGTTTTGTTTTTTAGATACACTTTGATACAAAGGACCAAGTGAGAATATTTTTTTTCACATGTTTATTGTAGGGGGGTAACAATTTTGGAAAGTAAAGTTTTGTCTTTGAACTGGGTCTTTGGGTTAGTTTTTATTAGGGTCTGTTTTTTGTTTTGTTGGTTGTTGGTTTTTTGTTTTGTTTTATATTTGTATAACTGAGACTCCTGTGTTTCTTTTTTGTTTATTTATTTACTTTTATGTACAAGTACTCTATCTGCATGTACACCTGCATGCCAGAAGAGGGCACCAGATCTCATTATAGATGGTTGTGAGTCACCATGTAGTTACTGGGAATTGAACTCAGGACCTCTGGAAAAGCAAACTGAGCCATCTTAACCATCTTAACCACTAGCCATCTATCCAGCCCAACTCCTGTATTTCAAAGTTTCCAAAAAGTATGGACAAATATTATGTCTAATATTTCGAAAGTCTACTATTCTATTTTTAAACTTAGGCTATAAAAACTAAGATAGTAATAGCTGTTGCCTTTAAACCAGAATACTATCAACACAGTGTTGTGACACTGTATGTCATGTTACTCAATGGAGAAATAAATAACAATGGAATTTTGTGATGAGTTCAAGGCTTGCCTGGTCTACAAACACTCTGAGTTTCTGGACAGCCAGAGCTACACAGAGAAACCCTCTCTCAAAAAATCAAAAAAGTAAGAAAAGTTACAGTAGCATTTCTGATCAGATGGTATCAAACTAGTATAACAAGACTAAAGGGGTAAAGGATGACAGGTGATGAGATCAGCCAGCCAGAGGCATGCATTGTGTAGGTTTTAGGCTCCGAAAAAAAGCTCAATTGAGTAGAAAAGTTTATTTTGCAGTTCAACAAATGGCTAAGATGTTCAGAGGTCAAGACCGAGGTCTGTGTAGACCCAGGTCTGTGTAGACCAGTCATTGGAGAAACAGCATATCTTAGTCTTGGTTCAAAGCAAACTGCAGAGCACAGGACAAAACCTCAATCTTATCTTGGGTGGTGCCATAACTGGGTGCTTCATTTACAACTTCACCACTCTATAGGTTTGTCTGCTTCTGGGTAGATAGTGTAAAGACCAGTAAGTCATGTAGAAATTAGCCTAGTAACATCTTAGTCTCATAACAAAATGAGTTCTTTGATGAGATACTATTTGGAATGGAATGTCTCAGAGAGGTGTGATGTCTTGTTTTTCATTTTCTCCTTTTGACATGGGCAGTTTTGCTATGCTGCCCAAGCTGATCTCAACATCCTGGACCCAAGTTATTCTCTTTGCTCAGCACCCCCACCCTTCACTGTCACCTTCCCCCCCCCCCCCAGTTGCTGGCAACTGGCAAATACTGTCTAATATCTTAATGACAGGACTACTGATGAATGGTACTGGCAAAGAATAACAAGTCTGATTTAACATCCATTACAGTAAAATTATCTGCTCCCCTAGGGATGCAGAGATGGCTCAATGGGTAAAAGCATGCCTTAAAAGCATGAGGACCTGAATTCAGACCTCTAGAATCTACATAAAGTCGGATTCCATAGTGCATATGGTCCCAGCACTGCTACAGCAAGATGAGAGAGGTCAGCTTATTTTTAAAAGCTTGAGAATGGAGACTTCTATGCCATGAACTGCATCCCTGCACCCAAACTGATATGATAAAGATGGACCTCCCAATGTGACCAGACATGGTTTTTTATTTTCTTTTATTTTTTAAAGATTATTTCTTTATTATTTATACAGCATCCTGCTTGCATGTATGCCTGTGCACCAGATCTTACTATAGATGGTTGTGAGCCATCATGTGGTTGCTGGGAGTTGAACTCAGGACCTTTGGAAGAACAGCCAGTGCTCTTAACCTCTGAGCCATCACCTCTCCAGCTAGACATGGTTTTTAAGGAGATATTTAATGTTGAATGAAGTCAGACTCTGATGGGTCCCCAAACTATAGTTCTGCAGTCTTATGAAAGGGAGTATTACAACATAGACATATAGAAGATGTGTGAAAGGGAGAGCCTTCTATCAGCCAACGAAAGGGCCTTAGAAGAAACCAGCCTGTGGCTAGCACCCTGATCTACACTCTAGAACTGTGAGCAAATAAATTTCTATTGTTCAGGGTACTCAGTCTGGTGTTTTGCTATAGCAGCCCCAGCAAACTAATACAAAAGATAATGAAGCACACTGAATAATGTAAGAGTTTGTGAGTATATACTGGTGTAAATCACTAAGCAGATGGTAAAGGAAAATGCTTCCTTAAAGTGGAATGCCAACTACCAAATGTAGAAGGAATGATATAAGGTCTCTATTTGATAACAGTAACAATTGATCCAAGTAAGAGATGACAGGTTAAACGTAGCTACAAGAGTTTTATGGGAAACAGGATATTCCTTAGCCTACCTCTCTGACCCCTTAGACTCTGCAAAGAATAAAATAGTGACATTGCAGGGGAAAACCCAGTAAACACTACTTTAACTTCCCAACATCAGGATGCTCTGGTATGGGTGACTCCTGAGGAATGAATGGGAATCACGGCTACCAAAACTATATCACTTGAAAATAATCTTGAACAAATTAAACAAAGCCAAGTCAAAAAGGCAGTAAGACAAATAGCCAGTTTTTAATATTAAGGCCGTTGAAGACGAGCAAAGGGCTGGAAAGATGGCTCAGCATGCAAGGACACTTGCTGCTCTTCCAGACAACTCAGGTTAAATTTCCAAGACAACCAGGACTATGTATGGACCCCACCTCAAGAAATAATATAGTACTTAAAAATTTTATTTTTATTTTACGTGCATTGGTGTTTGCCTGCACCTGTGTCTGTGTGAGGGTGTAAACCACTGGGAGCTGGATTGCAGTTGTGAGCTACCCGGGTCCTCTGGAAGAGCAGTCAATACTGTTCAGCAAGGTTAGGGGAACTGCCTCACATCGAAGCAAGCCAAAAAGCAGCAGGGCGCCACAGTGATAGGTGTAGTTCCAGATGGATCAGGAGCCTGAAGCTGACTGTGAAGGGCAGGCCTAACAGTTTAGTATCCGTGTTTAACTTCCTTGTGGTAACTGTATTCGAATTATGTAAGAGGATAAGACTGTCATCGCACATCTAGTCTACCAATCAATTGCCTCTGGCTGCAGCCGCCTCCTCCCCTCCCTGCCTATTTAGCGACGATTATTCACACCATCCCTCCTAGCGCTTCGACCTTGTCCCCCATCTCATTTCCCGAGTTTTCCCCTATTTCCCTTCCCGGCGCCCTCCGCCTCTTGTCCATCAGGTTCCTTGGTTTTAGTTGTCTCTCCTCTCTTGCCTGCTGGTCCTCCAGCTGTCTGGCACTCTGCCTTCCCTAGCTTTATCCACCTGTGCGTCTCTTGCTCGACCCTCCAGGTGCGCACCCCTAGAACTCTGCTGCGCGTGCGCCTTGAGCTCTTGGGAGGCAAGATCGCGCAGTTGGAAAAACTTCAGCGGCTAGCTTTGCCGTGAGCATCGCTTCCACGCCCCGCGACCGAGACGCGCGTGAGGCTGGGACAGGTGACTCTAGTTGGCGCGATGGGCTGCTCCAGCAGCGCCCTCAACAAGGCGGGCGAGAGCAACAGGTTCGGCAGTGCAGGTGAGCAAGGGACCCAGACTTCACTCACTGCGGCTGGGGTATTCTTTGTGCTGGCTGCTGCTCTGAGATCAGAGGGTAAGGCCTTGGCCCAGCCTCGCCAGCAGGGGGCGAGCTCCTTCCCGGCGGAGGAGAGCGCACCCGGTAAGATGTCCCAGACAGTTGGGAGCTTTGCTCTTGGGACTAGGGTGTGCCCATCCTGCTGTACCCACCGTGTGCGCCCGCTGCAGGACACTGGGGCTAAGAGCTGGAGACTGACTTGCCTGTGGGACCGGGAGTTTGTGACGCTAACAACTAACTAAACTAGCTGTGCCATCTTCGCCATGCAGATGAGAAACGTCCAATTTCTGATGGAGTTGCTCCATAACTCAAGGAACGGAAGCTGAGAGTGGAACATAAACACGCAAGATAATTCTGACAGTGATAAATACCGTAGAAAGAATAGGCGTAAATGAATGGACTCATATGATTAGAACATTGATGAACATAGAAGTCATATACGACTAGAACATAGATGAGTGGTTGGGTTCCACAGTCAGCCCATTCTTAGATTATAATTGCTAGCATTTTGGACATTAATAATTAAGTGCATTCCTTCGGGCTGTTTATAATCTTCCTCAAGGCTCACTTTGAGGGGGATTTTACTTTCTAATTCATTTTCACCGTTGGTAGCATCTCATGTTACTGCAGTAGCAGAAAATTTTGATTGTTTTGTTTTGTGGCAGAGAAAAGATTATCTCGCAAGAGGCTTCAGAACTCAGGCAGTAAGTCCTACTCAGAAACATGTTGCAATTCTTTTTTTGTGCTGTGTGCCCACTGAGATTCCCCCTTCCCATGGATAAGTAGAAAGTGAGGAAGTAGACAAAAATTAAAGCCATATGTGCAAATGATTCAAACCTCTTGTCACTGACAGTATTAGGACATGGAAAGTGCCTGCTGGCTTTCCCCTCATACCTCAACGAGCTCCAGTAAGGCCAGTGCACTCAGGAATTGTTTTCATGTCTCATTTTATAAAATCAAGTGGATTTTTGCACTTGTTCCATAATAATTCCTTATTGGTATCAATATGAAAAACACAAGGAGTGAAACTTTCAGGAAATAATATTATCACAGCTTCTCCCTTCCTCTCTCAGTGAGGTCCTGTTTAAAAGCCAGAGCACTTTGTTAGAGTGTAGCTCATTGGTAGAACATGTGGGCAGTATGGGTGTGTGCATTCACACACACACACCAGGAAATGTAACGCTAGAAGTGGCAAATGTATTCAATCAATAGAATGGGGACTTCAGTTATCTCATTTAGAAGGTGTTTGAGTTGAACTCTCATTTTTTACCCTTGCTTTCTTTTGTTATAAGTTTTCATGAATGTTGTTCTAAAAGAAATGTTAGACACTTGCCAGCAAATTGGAGTGTATAGAAAATTGATTGATATGCAGCATAAATTGCTCAAAATATACTTAATCAACCAACAGGTGTACTGCCTCTAAGCCTCCATGGGACAGTACACTGGTAATTGAATACTATTGTATGTTTGGCATTTTAATTTTGTGATCTTAGAGGTCTGATGAATAATTCACTACTCTCTCTACAGCTTAAAGTTTCTTTAAATCCTGATACAACCCAGGCCTGGGTATGTGTACTTTTAGATAAGGCTCGTGCAGGATTAAGCCAGGAATGGTGGCTCATGCCTTTAATCCCAGCATTCAGGGAGATAGAGGCTGTCGGATTGCTGTGAATTTGGGGCCAGCCTGGTCTACAAAGCAAGTCCAGGACAACCAAGGCTACACAGAGAAACCCTGTCTTGAGAAAAAAAAAATAGTAGTGCATGATTGTTAAATGCCTGTAATATGTCAGTGCATGGTTCATATGTACCACACGCTTGTTGAAAAGTGAAATTGAAGAGGAAGCTTCAGACTGGGGAACTGTTCCAGTTGGCAGAAGTGTAGGACTATAAAGAGAATGGCAGTTAGTCTAAAATGGCAGGAGACTGTGAAAGACTCCCAAACTCTCACCTCTTTCTGTCCATTCCTAAGCTGTTATTTCAGAAACTTTGCCAGATCCCAATCAAGTTCCATTGTGAGACTACTCTTAAATCAGATCCCCAAAGGCCTTTAATCCCAGCACTTGGGAGGCAGAGTCAGGCAGATCTCTCAGAGTTCAAGGCCAACCTGGTTTATGGAATGAGTTCCAGGACAGCCAAGGCTACACAAAGAAATCTTGTCTTGGGGAGAAAAACAAAACAAAACAAAACAATCAAATAGATCAGATCCCCAAAACCTTACTGTTTGAGGGTGGCTTTTTATTTTTATTTTGAGACAAGGTCTCATTATATAGCCATGGCTGGCCTGGGATTCAAGGAGAGCTGCCTATGTCATCACCATGCCCAGCTTCAGACCTTCCAAATCTTATAAATACTATGCCTTTCACTTCCACTGTGAGACACTACTGACTTACTTAAGGTTCCTATTGCTGTGATAAGCATTACAACCAAAAACAGCTTGGGAAAGAAATGGTTTATTTCAGCTTACAACTCTCAGATCACACTTCATCGATGAGTGAAATTAGGGTGGAACTCTAGGCAGGAATTCAAACTGAAGCCCCGGGGACGCTGCTTACCGGTTTGCTCTCCATGGCTTGCTCAGCTCAGCCTGCTTTCTTAGGTATCACCCGCCCAGGGCGGCCCTGCTCACATTGAGCTGAGCCCACCCACAGCAGCAGTCACCTGTAGGCTTCCTCACAGGCCAATCAGCTGCGGGCATTTCCTCAGTTGAGGTTTCTTCTTCCCAAATGACTGTAGCTTGTGTCAAGTTGTAAGACAAACAAAACCAATCAGGACAACTGCTAAGAAAAGACTGTCAATGTAGTATTTTTCCATTACTGCAGTTAAACAACAACAAAATTCAATGTACTGTGTTATCAATGGGTTATTTGAGAGGTGTTTACCTTTTTTTTTTTAGGTTTGTTCTGTTTTATGCTTGAGTGTCTCATCTGCATGTATGTATGTGTAGCATGTGCTCACAGTGCCCAAGGAGGTCAGAAGACAGGATTGGATCCTAAGAAGTGGAGTTACAGATAGTTATGAGCCACCATGTTGGTGATGGGAACTGAACATAAGAGTAGCCAGTGCTCTAAATCACTGATCTAGTCTCCAGCCTTCCTGGGAGGTGTTTTAAAGAAGCCACATTTGACAATATAGGAAGTGCTGTCAAATTTGACTGAGATTTTTTAGGTGCTCAACTTTCAAACAGTGCCCTGTTCTAAGGACCCTAGAGCCTCCTCATAGGCTCCAATAAGAGTTCAGATGAACTCACATTGGGCCTCACCTCTGATTTCTTACTTTTCAATGAACACCATAAATGATACATTTCATCCATGAGTAATACCTAGGAGTAAGAAACCCCTATCTTACACAGGAGAAGAATGTTAGTTATGAGTGGCAGGGATAGAGGGAGGAATGAGAAAATGTAGGTTAAGGGGCTGCAGTTGTGTAAGATGAATAAGCCCAGAGATATAAACATCATGAGGACAATAGTTAACAATTTTTGCCAAGAGAGTAGGTGTAGGTGATTTCACACATAATAAAGAAGAATCAAGATAGGTATTTTAAAACATCATGGTGCTGGTAAGATGGCTCAGTGCGTAAAGCACCTGCCTCCCAAGCCTAAGAACGTTCCCGGTGTCCCCTCCCCAGAGCCCATGTAAAGGCAGAAGAGAGAGCTGAGCCACAAAACTGCCCTTTCACCTCTGTATGTGTGTGATGGCACAGTAAAGCCCCTATCATGAGCCAAGCACGGTGGTGTATGCCAGCAGAGGCAGGCAGATCTCTGAGTCAGAGGCTAGCCCAGTCTCCAGAGAGTTCCAGGACAGCCAGGGCTACACAGAAAAACCCTGTCTCGAAAAACATAGAAAAAGAAAGAAAGGAAGGAAGGAAAGAAAAACACCTCATCATGTTGTGTACTTAAATGAATATAATTTTAAAACTCTTTAAAATTGCTGCTGGTAATTAGCTATTGAAAGAATCACTTCATTTAACTTTATGCCATGACTAAGCATTATGCTTATTTCTAACTTACAGAGATGTGTAAATAATTTCCCACAAGTCAGAGCTGCCAAGAATTGGAGTGGGGCTTTGGACACAGGTGTTCAAGCTAGTTTGTGATAACTATAATTGAACGTTTTCACTTCGAATCACTCTGAACCCCTATTAGAAGAAATACACTAAAAGTGTTTATTTTCATAACTGCCTGTTATGCAAATATTATATAACATATAATATATTATTTATAAATATGTAATATATTACATAGAAATAAGATGCATTACACTGTTTCACAAATGCCATATTATTTTATTGTATACTAGTATATTACATAATATATTAATATTATATGTTAACAATATATTATTATTGTGTTTCTTTGGTTGTTTCTATAGCAAGTGACTACATACCTAATGGGAACTTAGAGTGATTTTTCAGGCATACAATATAATATGTTACAACAAATAAAACATCTACTATAATCCCTAAGTAAGAGTCAGGGAAATAGGAATATTTGGTGACATTTTTAAACATTTTTAATTTTGAAGATGTTTTACAAACTCCATGTGCATGTGAGTATAGGTGCCTGTGGCTTTGGGTCAGGTGTTGTGAGCCACTGAGGGAGGTGCTGGGAATAGAAATCTGAACTTGGGCTCTTCACTGCTGAGCTGTCTCTCTGACTTCCCATCTTTTTCTCTTGAGGTCATTCTGTAGCTGAATCTAAAGATCACTGGGCTAGGCTGGCTGGCCAATGAGCTTCAGAGATCTGTCTGGGTCTGGCCCCTCAGTGCTGAGATTATAGGCACCATCTTCTGGGTGGGTTCTGAACTCAGTTCCCATGCTTACCTGAGCTATTTTCTTGGACTCAGAAGTTCCTATTTTCTAGGCTCAGATGTCAGTTATCCAGCTGATACTGGTTGTGTAGCTAATGGGCTGCAGAGGAATAACATGTTCCAATAGTGGTGGGT